CTATCTATCTATCTATCTATCTATCTATCTATCTATCTATCTATCTATCTATCTATCTATCTATCTATCTATCTATCTATCTACCCTTCATACACACAAAGACAGAAAAAGCAGTGAGAAGATTGGATTGTGCATCAGCCCCAGCTCAGTAATTCTTGTTTTTATTAGATAACAGGCAACACCAAGGCATGTTTCCAAAAATTGCACCTGTCTGCAAAAGAAAATTATTCTGGAATCAATATCTTTTCAGAAGAAACAACAATATTTTCACTCATTAATTATGTACAGAGCTGATATAAGAAGATGCACTAAAAGCTTCTTTTTTTTTTCCATTGTTTCCTTTTGCAAAGTGCAGCATTAGGCTAAATGAGTGGTCCCAAGGTCTTTTGTCAATGTGAATGTGTGGACAGACACCACAGATGGCACACATAGTTCCATATGTTTAGGTCACTGATTTTAAATTACTTGGCCTTAGCAGTGGGGGATAAATGTTTCACCCTCCGAACCAAGAATTCCCTGTTAACTGTTGCTAACTGTCGATACAAAAGCAGGACTTTTTTTCTTAATCATGAATGCACAAAGCTTCCTAGAGCCGTGGTCCATTAAGCACTTCAACACCTGCTCTCTCTCTCTTTCTGCCTTTCATTCCATTCTTCTTCTCTACTTGGTCCCTTCCTAATACAGACACATCCATCGATATGTTGTGATGCAAATATATCTTAGACCAGATTAAACCCAGGCTGACCTAATGCGTTTTATTTTTACTACAGCCTGCTAAGGTGGATATTAATGCCCAAGTTAGACGGATGAGACAAATGGACATGGACGTCCAAAGAAGAATCTGAGGACGTTATTACAAACACTACAGAAAGGAGTTGGAACACAGCGGCATAGGACACATTGAAATAAAAAAAGAATAGTCTGTCATTAATCCCAGCCTGTCAGTTTTTTCTATGATAATAAATACTTTCTGCCATTTCTGCCAAATGTATGTTTTTACAAAGCAGGAGATCTTTTTTGGGTGAGGCTTTATATTAGGTACAATATATGCACATGTATGCACTGGCCAACACAATGTTTGAATGTTTACTATCAGACATGGCCTCCAACAGCCACATCAGATCTGTTTTTTTTTTTTTTTTTGTCATAGTTTTGTACAATAAAGTTTAAAAAAAACTGTGCTGCTTTTTCTTAGCATTCCTCGGCCTTTCTGCTCAAAAATACAGTATATAGATGTTGTTCTAATATTTCAAGTCAAATATTTCACTCCTGGGACATACAGGAAAATCTGCTTCTACCTTACTTGGTGAGTATGTATGTGTTATGTTAGGTAGTAGTAAGAACAACAATGCAGAAGTCACAAAATCAACACACATTTTGTGTTAAATCACTAAATTCTTTGCATAGACTAGTAACGTAAAAAAATTAAAAAATGTTTTGATAAAACACAAACCCGCTCCCCAATGATGAGAAAAAGCACCAGACATATTTACTATAAGTAAATAATTTTACAAACCGACACGGGTAAGGTTTACTTATCTCAGTATCTAATGTGGCTTGAGTTAGTCTCACAGTTAGTTGTTGTTTACTGCAGCAGTTTGATGAAATAAAGTGTGACTTAAAGAGTGTCTTGTGCTCTTTGCAAGCTTTACACAGGTTCCTGGGCCAGACCACACTTATGATAGTCAAGCCCATGTCAAACCTTTTATCTCTAAAATTAGTCTGTTACACTTTACGTAGGTGAGTCATGTTGAAGCCCTGTTTTACTCTGTCATTTTTTTCCTCTTTTGTCCTCTTTTGACATTTGTGTACTGTGTGAAATGATATTGTGCAACACAAATTGTTTCCAATAAACTGTATTGCATATTTTAACCAGATCTCAAGGATCAATTAAAGAAAAAAAAAACTCTTTAAGTAACGCGTGCTTCCATTTACTCCTGTAAACGCGGTATTAAGATAAAAATGTCTTTCATTGATTTCAAAGGGAAAGAACATGTGAAATAGTGGCATCTGTAGCTGGAGACACAGCCTCCGTTCATATTCATCTACTCAAAAAGGTTCTTCCTTTTCATTTTCTGTGACCTAACCTTTCAGTGGATCCTTCCTAAGTAACTCTATTGGTTTACCTAATAACTAATGAGAAAAAAATAATCTGTCCCTCATCCTTACATATAACTCAAAAGTATTTCACTTTTGGCTTTTCATCAGTGTTCTATGATTTAATTTTTGCATTGTGAAAGATACAAAATGCAAAATTCAAAATGTTTTCTCATAACATTTGGGCTCTAATACACTGTCAAACTGAATGCAGGGAGGTTACAAATAACCAATATGATACATTTTGAATGAATGAATACATCAACTAAAGTTTTCTGGAGCTGTTTGAATAAGCAGCAGCACAGAAGCTGAAAAGAAAAACTATTCTCAAGAAATGCAATGTTTCATATTTGTCAATACAGTACTAAGCCAATGATATAATATCCTGTCAGTAATGTTACAAAGTTGCAAAGTGTTCTGTATAATTGTGACCATTGTTAGTGAATTATAGACTTCATTCCACTGGGTGTACTTGATTAAAAACAAAGTCTAATTAATTAGGGACTTGGATACATTTAAATCACATGTGAATGTTTGGCTCACTGTTTTTCAATTCAAACAGATTTTGGTATTTTGGTCTGAATGCATGAAAAGACATATACGTGAAAACATGCTCATAACTTTTTTGATGATGCTAGCACCTTTTCTTTTAATCCTCGTATTGTTTCTGATATCTGTTGTCACCCATCGTGAAGTGTAGGTTGACATCTTTGTTTGGCATCGTTACAATCATGCATGTTAGTACTGGTGTCAGTGCTCACTGCCCAGTGTTTTGCGGTGAGGTGGTAGCAGGGACTTGAATTTCTTCGGTGGGTCATATGAACATTTCCTTTTTTTTTTTCTTTTTTTTTTTTACGTTATGTCCTAATTATATTTTTACTCTCCACAGTATGGATTTATTTTTACACATGTATTGTGGACTGTAAAAATAAAAGCATTCGCTGCTTGATGTTTTTTTTAATGCACTCATTTTTCTGCCATTAATCAATCAAATTGAGATGTCCCTTATACTTTTGTCTTTTGTCACAAATGGCAAAGATGAAAGAAGAAGAAGAAAAATCTCAAAAAAAATTGTCAAATTTAACATAAGAAATAAATGAGCCGGAATAATACAACACAAACTGTTATCTGTATGCAGTGAATCTTATGTTTTTAAATTTCTTCTAAATTCAATTCACTGGGTAGGAATCAGCTTTATATGTCATGCAATGAGACACACAACACACACAGGGATTTCTTTTCCACTGAGTTTTATTGGTTTAATGCTAAAACAACAAAATATAGATAAAGAAATAAGAAGTTTGGCTGCTTCTTTTGCACATCACAACTAAGTTTAAACAGACTGTTAGCTCAAGGAAAAACAATTCACCACAGTAGCATTTTGACCTTTAACCCCCTAATAAAAAATCTTAGTTGGGGTTTGAAATGTTTCTTGACTTTAGATATTCATTTCACAACATAAATACACAGTACGCAGCCCTGTGACCTAGAAATGCACATGTATGTCAAAGACAGACAACAATTTTAGGTAGATGGAATGGATGGTAGTCTGTGTAAAAAAACAAAAAACAAAAAAAAAAACAAGAACAGAGGTCATAAATGTTTCACCAAGGTGGGACCAAAGCACACCAATAGTACATTTTATTGTAGTGCTAACACTGACTTCTAAATACTGTGATGCAGACTCATATGGGGCCTTAAGATTGGTTGTGTAAACACGTTTACAGCATGGGAAATCTTGGGATTTAAAAGGCTCCATTTTAAGCTGGACTCTTTGGAATCTTCTAGCCGTCAAAAAAAGTTATTAGAGCTCGTTAGCATTTGCTGTCACCAAAACAATTATGTCTTGACAAAATTCAATCTTTGATGTTTGTAAGGATTTGGGCAGTTGGTGCAGTATGGCCATGAGATGTTATTCGCCGTTAAACCAAATGTATAAATCATAAAGAAAGCGTATGATTTCAGAGCTGAGGTCAAGGCTAGCCTTAGATGAGTGCTTTAATTTGTTATGGTGAGAGAAGCAGCACACAACAGAAGAAAGTTATATATTATTTTGTATAGGTAAGTGATTAAATACAATAGGAACAGGGCAAGTGCACTCAGGCTCCTCATTAGGAAGGAGTGTCAGACAGAGACTATGAAGAAGAATCAAAGGAAGGAGAAGTAGAACAAGAAGGACAATAAAACAACAAAAGATGCAACATCTCAAAAAAAGTAAAATTAGTTTGCAGCTGTAAATGATGTTATGTAATGTAAACACAGTTAGAGAGAAAGAAAAAGCAACGTCAAAGTAATTTAGTCAATTCAATCCCTACTCACCAAGACTGTTGGAATCAAGTTCAATGCAATGTTTTCTAATTGTAATTTCATTTAATTTTCATTCAATATTTCTCTCTTTAAACATTGTCCAAACAAAGTGGAGAGTTCAACGAATAGGCTCCTGGGGAAACTCCCACTGTGCGATCAACCCTTGTTCTCCCTCTGTCTGTATTGACTGACAGACATGAAACTACATCGTCATCATAATAATGGCTCTTCATCAGTCGGTGCTTTTTCTCTCTCACTGTTTACACTCATCAAGTCCTGCAGTTACAGTCGATGTAATTGCAGGACTTGATGCAGACACTGATATAGTTCTCATAAGTATTGTCATTATAATTATTCATCAGTAACATCACTAAACATATTTGATACTGTTGATTAATCTACTTCTAATCACATCAATGGATTTCTGCTCTTAGTCCCCTCTATTTACATATTTTCTAACCTTTTTCCCCCTTTTCTCCCTCCTTTGTCACCTCCCCCGTTTTATAAATCAGCCTGTTTTATCTGTCACTCTGCTAAAAATGCCATGGCATATTAGTGAAACACCACAGGTGAAAAAACCTACACAAGACGGTTATCATCCAGATTACAGTGAAAAAAAACATGAAAAACCTTGTTATTATTATTATTATGTAGTAGTAACACTGCAGCATTTCCATGTTTGTGGCAGTGTGAGCAAATATTACTTGTTAGGACTAGATTTTGACTTTTCACTATAGAGAGACTGGGATGAAGCTGAGAGGCTTCATTGTGTCAACTCAAATTGCCGATGATTTTTTTTTTTTTTTTGCACCATTTAAATTTTCATTTTCAGAGTGAAGCTTTGTCTGGTTAAAACCATCTTCTACCAGTTCCTAAAATGTCAGAATAATGTCCAAACGTACTGCTTTAGAAACACTCTGCTCTGATCTGAATGTGTCTATAGACGAGTATAAAAATAAAAAGAACATCTCTTTTGAAGCAGGAAAAAGTATTTTGGGTCAAACCTTTTTGACAAGACTGTGGATAAAAACCAACAGAGAATGGTGAAATTATCAGCGGAGTGGTTTTTTTAAAAGGTATTGTTTTGTTGATTCACCTTGTTTGCAAATTAGAGGAAATGTTGCGTTATCTCTTCTGTTCTAAAATAAATCTTCAGTTTGATATTTCACTGATGTCCACTGAGGCTTTGACAACATTGGTGCAGTAACGTGACATTGAAGTGGACATTTTTCATAAAGGATGCAATTATAAGAGCAGCCATGTTTGGAGCTTCTTCTTAAGACTGCAGGCTAATCCATTATGTTTCTTTCAATAATTGTCTGTCTGCCACTTTAACAACTTTGCACGTACTGACACATGTCCAAAAAAGAAACCATAGTTACAATATATTAAGACAGAGACTAATCTTTAGAAATCTAAATCAAAGACAAAGGCAGAATCAGAAGGTCACTTTGATCAAAGGTCTCCAACCTTTTGACCACACAGCCTGACTTAATGAAAGACCACAGACTGATCATCAAGATAGGACTTAAATGAATTGGACTAAATAAAATAAACCGGCTGATATTAACACAAATATAAAGTGCATTAAAGTAAAATTTTACCATAAATTTGAATACCAAATATTATGCATAGCAAATTTGTAACATAAATTCACCTGTGAAGGATTTTCCCCTGTTTTGAAGAATCTCTCCAAAGACCTTTATTGGCATGCATCAAAAGGCATACGTAATTAGCTGAGATTAATTAACTAAAACAGATTAAATCAATCAATGAAAGACAAATACTTTTTTTTTCTCCTTGTAGTGAAATACTAAATAACCAGTGGCCTGGTGCCGGTCTGTGGCCCAGTGGTTGAGGACCTCTGACTTTGATTACCAATAAGACTCAAATCTATTTAGACAACAAACATACAATAGTGACTGACACTGATCACACATCACGTTATATTACTGAGACTCTTGGAGAATTAAGCCATAAAATTAAATTGCATTCTGCCAAATCTAACTAGTACTCTTCTGTTCTTAAGACCTTCACTCTGAAGACAACCATTAAGTTCAGGAAAGTCACTGTTTTGTAAAAGGTAAATGTGTTTCTAACAACAACGCCATCTGTAGAACTTTTAGATTTCTGAGAAAAAGAAAAACTGAAACTAGATATAAAAAAGGAAATCAACATGTTGTCTATGATGTAACATTACATTGACGTCCAAAATCCCGAGTATCCCTAGCGTACTAGTAAATGTGGAGCTTAATGATTGCAATACACTCTGGGTTAGAAAAATACTCCCACTACAACCATTTTGTTTTCCCACCTCTATCACACTGTGGCTGACCGAATCAGCCACACAAAAATAGGCATGGAATGACAATGGGAGAGTGACATTGCCCCGCATGTCCCTCACACACATGCCCGTTTGGCGTGCAGCATTTCAATGAGCAGATTGTTACAGGGCACCTCACCACTCAGGTTCATGTAGCACAGGTAGTCCTCGGCCTGCATGCTGAGGGAGCGCACCTCTGTCAAAGGAACCAACAATTGGCTGAACTTTTCTTGGAACTGAGGGTAGGTTGTCAAGGTATACTCCAGAAGAGCTCCATTCACCTGCTCCTGGACCCCCTCCACAAAGGCCTGGTTCTCCAGCATCTTTACATCTGTAAACAAAAAGAATAAGATGACAAAAGGGATGTTGTTAATAGATATAGCATAAAGCCAGAGACATTTGTTATAAAACTGTATGTGTGTAATATTTATTTATTACCAAATGAATACATTAGCCGTGATAATTAATTTTTGACAACAATCAAATGGCTGTGGACTGTGTATCCAGTAATTCCTCCATCCAGTCAACATTGTTATTTTTTAAATATAATTTTGACACATCTGTCATTGGCAAAAAAAAGTGTTCTTTTCACCAGACTACCTTAAGCTTAAAATACCATCTTAATGCGCAACATGCATATGTCTGTCATGGCAGGTGGCAGATGTTGATGAGAACATGGCTATCACCAAAGTTTTAAAATAAAGTCTAGATGCGTTATACAAAAAAAAAAAAAAAAAACCCAAGATAGAAAAGAATCACTAAATTTCACACACTCTTTTTTCTAAATAAATAATTTTATCATTTGGATTAGTCAAAAAAACAAAAACAAACTATATATATATAGTATGTATAATAACTTTAATGTTTTAAGTAATCCAAATGATAGAATTATTATTTTGGAAAAATATAACAGAAATATGCTAAATATTACTGCTACTATATTATTACTAAAAAAATTATATAT